GACCCTTAAGAAGCGCTTTGAGGACATTACTGATCACTGGCTAAGATTGATCTAAACATCTGCTCTTCGCGGCATGTGCCTCCGTAGTGTAGTTTGCCCTTAGTCTTCACTTTTTTTACCTGGCAGTGCTGTTCCCTCACTGGGTAGTTACATTTCGGTCAAAAAGGTAACTGTGTATCGCTTACCAAAGCTAGTTTTTGTTCAGACCTTATAGAAACACGCACTTTAAAAGAAACGCAATCAGTCGGCGTTGTTTCACTGTTACATATTTGCTGGTGTCACGTCCTCGCTAGTAGCTAACATTTTTGCTCTAAAAGTTCATTGCATGTCACCAAACTAAGGTGAATTTGTTTGGCGCATGGTTTGCTGCAAAAGGCACAAACAACACTTGAAGGCATCAGGATGCATGAGGTCCCCCTTTGAAATTTTTGCGTTTGCCGTGAGGTCATGTTGTTCAATGAAATGATGGTGTGTTTAAAAGGCATGTGGTTGAATTCATCATCCTTTCTGAACAAGTCGTCAAGATACTTGCATAGGCCATCTGAAAACTGACAGATGTGTACAATTAAGCCTTATACGGATCGGATTAATTTTAAATTTGTCCTGCGCTGATTTTCGGATGTCGTAAACTGCGAAATGTGTTTCTGCGGCAGAAATATCCGATCTCAGAATAAGTACCTCTCCCGTAAGAAATTTTTCGCATTTGATAATGTACATAATGATGTGCTTCTTCATTTTGTTTGGAGCTATGCAAATGTGTCACAAGGGTGCGTGTACTTCATAAGTGATCTCCCCAAACGGAGCTAGCTGGTCTTCCGAATTTCGGCTGTCCACAGAGGAAGTAACATTCATGCGGCCCACGGTTCGTAACTACGTGCTGAAGTTGTACAATGTCGATCAAACGATTCCAGCCACCGCCACCGGCCTAACGTTCGTGCTCTGTCAGCCTAGAACAAATTCAACCGACTTCGGGGTCCAATCAACGACGGAGAAGGCCGCGATGCCACGGTTGTCAAAGAAACGGCTCGCTTTGTGTTGTTGGGCTGTTGCATCGCGAGCCATTTAAGTGTGTACCGTCTTTTAATTTATGAAACGCAGCGAACCGCGGTGCTAGCTCAGGAAACGGTACAGAATGTAACTTTTGTTTTTTAATTTTTTCAAACAAATCAAGCAGCACGAGTTCTTTTACGCATGTATTTGAGCTTTTCACGCAGCTTTGTCGACGTAACTTTTTCCAAAACTTCAGCCCGTAGGCTGCCCCACCCTAGTCCGCAAAACCTGCTATGCTACCGTGCTGATCCAACACTAACCCGCAGGGGCGAAGTTGACTGCGATCTGTAGGTGCATTTGCTTTCGTAATTTGAGACCCAAATATGAAAAGGGTATTAAATATGCTATAAGTGACGTCTAGTTCAAATCTTTGTCTGTCTTGTATCAGTAATGCTGCTCAGAAATCAATAACAAAAACACTTCGACTACGGAATTTCTAAAGTACAGAGTTTTATCTTTAGCACTGCGATGCCATCTCCAACTGCAAAGAGAAGGAAGAAAGTGGACTTTAGATCGGACCCGTCACCAAAATGTAGCAGAAATTTCAGTACCGCACCTAATCTCAGTAAGCCATGGGCTAGGTCTTTCAAATTGCATGCATCAGCTGATGGCCTGGCAATGAGTAAAGAAATCCTGCCTCTTTCAAAGCGTGGGAGTTCTCTTTGCTTGATTGCACTGTGCACGAGCACAAATGATATGGAGTCCTAGGAAAGTGAACGCATTTTCTATGCGACAATGCTACTAGAATTAAACAATCTTGCTCCGTCTAACTCAAAGGTGGTGAATGCGTCACAATAGCCACACTGTCATAACCCGGATTCAGGAAAGACATCCTAGCTCTTATATGATGTTTGCTGTGCTTAAAGGTAGTGCTCCTCATTTGTAGAGGATTTTGAACTGATATATTTTGAGGAGTTAGCCCATATTGAGGATTATGCAATGCACTTCACAGGCATGCTTTTTGTAAGACATCAAACCTTCTGATTTCGAGCTTGAATCGCGCAAACTTGTGCAGACTATTTCGCATAGCCTATTTGAAGGTCACTGAGACATGTATGGCGTCATAGAAACGTCACGCGAATACCACCCCTCAATGGCCATGTAGTGCTCACAGTTAAGAAAAATGTTATCATCGAATTAGCTGCATCTGGGCATCGGCACGGTTCGTGATATCAACGGGTAGCAATTGCCTTTAACCAGTTGCATGCGTTGAGTGCACGTTTCGAACACAAATCATGTTTTCCTTTTGCATAATACAGGGGCACTGGTACACGGGAGTCTGGTCACAGATCCTCCCCACGGAATCTTGACTGATTCTGCTGCTATCTGTCACCGAATTTTCAAATAACACCATGTGATCACAGCTTGCGACAGTAGAACTCTTGACTGTGGCTGCCACCATCATGGCCATCGGATTATCATGGATTGTCATGGGTTCATTACGGATATCATTCAATATCGATGCCTTAAGTTTTGATTCGAATCATTGGGTTTCATGTTGTACGAAAACAACGAAAATAAGATGATGATAAAACACCAATATCGTAAAAAGAGCGTTTAAAAGTGAGCGTTGTGTAACATTGGTAAAGTCTAGACATTAATGCAGTACGGCTCCGAGAAGTCACATCGACCAGCGGCAGGCGGTTCTAGGACGAGGCCGCACAGCACCACAACGCCCTGCGTGCCAATCTGACAGGCTTTCTCACAGTATTTCCGGCTGGTTAAGCTGGAAAACGGGCAGCCCCAAAGCGGCGATCGCTACCGACCTCCTGACGCTTCTGACTAACAGCTGTGCAACAGATGGCCAGGTACCGGACCGCTTCCGGGGCGCAGCGGGTAATCGAGGACTCTGAATGCGCCAAGGTGGTCATGGTGTGGACAGGGTCACTCACGCTGCGCCAGCCCGTCGACTGCAAAGCCGATGAAATGCAATCCCGGCCCCGGCCCCCACAAGATGACCCAGGTCACGAAAGGTCCCGGTCCAGGTCTTGACAACCGCTCAGAGGTAACAACAAGGGACGGCAGGATCAGCAGCTGTGCAGCAGCCACACAATCAGCACAAGCACGTTTATGCGGCATCCCCTTTGTCGAACCGCACTGACCACCCGACCTCGAGATCGTTCACGTGGTTATTGATCATTCTGAACCCCAAGTCGTCTGGGCTCACGCGCACGGCGCCTTCGCAGCATTCCAAGGGGGCGCTCCGTTGGCAATTTCATCTCCGAAGTGGGCCAAATTACAGCGGCTCTCGTCCGACCTGTCAATCAAACACATCACAAGTTGTCAGAGCCCGGACGAGCTGGCGCGGCCCGGTCCAGGGAAAGCGGCCCGGCGCGCTCGCGTCACCTTATTGTCGCCAACGCGCCACGACGGCGACCGGCGCTGCAGGGAGCCGGCGGTGGCGCTCGCCTTCAACCACGCTTTAATTGGACACTATCGCTCTCCTTTATGGATGTCGGCGGCGACGGTGTGACGGCTCCAGCGGCCCATAAACGCGCGTCGCTGGCATGCTTGTCGCCCCAACTTGTCGCAGATGCAGCCGGAGAGGCCGGAAAACAGCGCGCTGAAATTGAAACAGAGCTGTTTACGGCGCGCCGGCGAGCATACAGAGTGCGTGGCGTCGCGCCAGCTTGACACGCCGCCACGCGGTGACGTCACGCCCGGCTGCTGTGCTGACGTCACTGCCGCCATCGCCGTCACCCTGGGTCGGTACAGCGGTGCGGTGTGGCGGGATCTGATGACGTCACTGCCGCCAGCCGTCACCCTGGGTCGGGACAGCGGCGCGGTGTGGCGGATTTGATGATGTCACTGCCGCCAACGCCGTCACCCCGGGCAGGCACAGCAGCGCGGTGTGGCGGATCTGATGACGCCACTGTCGCCAGCGCCGTCACCCCGGGCCGGCACAGCAGCACGGTGTGGCAGGATCTGATGACGCCACTGCCGCCAGCGCCGTCACCCCGGGCCGGCACAGCAGCGCGGTGTGGCAGGATCTGATGACGCCACTGCCGCCAGCGCCGTCACCCCGGGCCGGCAGAGCCGTGTGGCGTGGCAGGATGTTGAGCCGCTAGCCAAGTGTTTGCGGTTTGCTGAGGTGTCAGTTTTTGTTGGTTTATGTTGCGGCTAATGGCTGCCTGGACGGTTGAATAGCTTCAGGGAATGAAAGGCCCATCCCTCCAAATGCGTTTAAAGAAGTCAGTAGGTTGGTTTGGGTAGCGGGCGTAACGCCTGAGAACTCCCATCTTTTGAATCACATAGTCCCAGTCCATAACACCATTCGTTTATAACACTAATTGTGCATAGTATTTATTATAGGTACGCATTTACAGCGACATTTGTAGGTGACGGTTCGTTGTTTGGATTAGAGCCTTTTCGACCAGAAATGATCATTTCAGGGCTATGGAATGAAGGAAAATAGTTAACGGTGGGGCAGGCTTGCATGCGCCTGGGGGGCTAACCGCCGAGCTTTAACCCGCGCATGCGCCCTGGGTACCCGGTCGGGGTCCCCTTCCCATGGGGCTCTCGGCTCACTCGTGACTGACGCATGCAGTTTGCCCCGGACTAGCGGGGTATCGCGAGGATGTAGGATGAGGCAAGATAGAGGATAAGAAAGGATGGGATGTAGGTGACGGCCGTTTATAATCATACATGCGAAGTTCTCTGGAATCTCAAGCGTTGAGTATGCACGGTGTTGCCATGTTCTGACCGTCCTCTAGGCATTGCCACCTGCGTAGCTTTAACCAACAACTGTATATATCACGGCTCCACGCCCTTATTCCGTTCGCAGTATACATGCAGGTGGTTTCGACGACATTTTGGGGCCGGTGCAGCCCGCTCGTCACGACTCGCTCACTGCCCTCTATCGGCGAACGCAGAACTAACGGCCGACTCCCTCCGTCCGCAGTTTGCGACAAGGTGCTGCCGCTGGGTGTGCACCTGATGCTGGGCTACATTAACCCGGACGCGTTCGACACGCTGCACTCCTACGCCAATACGTTCCAGATACCGTTCGTGGCGCCTCGGTTTCCGCAAAAGGTTAGTTGTCGAGGAGGCGTGACGGATCGTTTTCAACCTCGGAGAACATTGCCGGCCTTCGCGCATGCAAACGGTATGCGCGTGCGTGTGCGTATGCGTGTGCGTGTGCGTGTGCGTGTGCGTGTGCGTGTTCGTTTTCGTGTGCGTACGCCCATGCGTGTTTTTCTGTATGATTTCGGGTAGTCAAACAGGGCTGTGATTCCTGTCAATTTCGTTCTTGCATCAGCGCAGTACGCTGATATGCAGTGGCTGATGAACGGTGCGTTTAGGTGACTGGTTGACGAATGGCTGCGCGAGTGGTGACCATTGTGACGCCCTACATCGATGTGGCGATCCGAGAACCTTGGTAAAATCCACGATGTTGACCAGGACCAGGAAGAGCCTAAATTGGCATATAAGGATTATTATTGCCAGAATTGACACATTGGCACGTTGGCATCCTGCCCACGCGTCCTCTTCGCCGCCAAGGGGCTTGTTCTTTTTTCGGTGCACATTCTAGGGTTGGAATTTTATTTTGATGCCTGATGCCACAACATTGTGCTTTCTGATCTGGAACATGGGCTACCTTATTCATAAAAGTGGCCCTATGATCCATAACGCGGGCCTCTTGTTGTATGAAAGGGCCTTCGGAGTCAGGTTTATGATTCTCTAGCCCAGTTATGGGAAGGGCTTTTTTATCTCAATTTGGTAAGCCACGGGTAATTTGGAAAAGGGCCTCCATTTTTGCTTGGGGGTGGGGGGAGTAACATACTCCTGCCCCCGCTGCCTGTCGGCAGGAAAGGGAAAGGGGCAACTACCCCTCTGCCCCCCTTCCCCTGCTGCGCCGTCCTGCCTGTAAGTGACTAAAACTGTCAAAAGCATTCAGGCCTTCGGCACCATGAGAGCCTCCACCACCTCGGGTGAGGGGGTGGGTGAAACATGGCCCCCAAGATTTCCTTTGGCAACACCACTGGTCGGGGAACGGGCATACAGCCCGTTGCAGCGTCGCTTTCCCCCGGCCCCACCAGTGACGACGGGCCGGCGTCGCCGAGAGCCATCAGCGGCGACTTGTTGCCGCCATTCCATCCACGGCGCCGTCCGTCAGCGTGTCGCCGTCCAAATGAGTCGCGCCCTCGGGTCCACTCGTACCCGGACGGCCACAGCTCTGCGCGGCCGTCGAGGCTGACCTACGGGCGGTCCTGACGGCGGCCGATCCGCGGCCGAGCTGGGCGGTGACCATCGCCGACTGATGACGGCCGGCTGCGGCGGCGGCGGCCAGTTTACGAGGCCGCGCCGAGCCGACGGGGCCACATAGCTCTCCCTGTTTACCGCCGAGATGGGGGCAGGGGATCCCGGGGCAGATTGGAAGCTGTGGCTCCAGGCGACGTCGCTCGGCTGCAGAACGTGATGCGGACAAATGTTCTCGATAACAGGTGATCACAAACCTCGAGCAATGCTCATCGCCGGAACACCTCTCCTGCTGAGAAGGGTGCCGCAAGGCGCGCCGACGCCTGCTCAGACGGTGCCGAGGTCCCGCAGGGCGACGCGCTCTGACGTATGACCTCACCATGTGCGCCCCCACCCTGCCGCCCGGGTCACAGTCGGACGCCTTCCCCGGGCCGCGCCCGTCGCCGCAGCCTGCTCCTGATGGACGGCCTCAGTGAAGCGCGCGGGCGCTCTCAATCTGCCCGCCGGACACCGCCAATAAGCCGTCGTCGCAATTTAGGAGCGCAGCTAGGGCGCGCCACGGCCAGATTGCGGCGGCGTCGGGCCGCGACCCGCTCGAACGCTGCCGAGCAGCGGCCCGCCGCCGCCGCCGTCGCCGCCACCGTCGGCAGGCTGTAAATCGCCGCACAAATCGGCTCGGACGTCTGCCGGTCTGGGACGGGATGCGCGCCGCGGCCTGCTAGAGGGGAGGGGTCTCCTGTGGAATGCGGCGTCAGCTCTGGTGTGCTGTGCTTGTTGGTGGCGTAGCGGGCGCTTTTATGTTTTACGCCATCCTGTCGAGCCTTGTAGTCCTGAAAAAATCAGGATTACATGGCTTTATGAGTCATTTGCATGGAAAACCATAAGCGTAAGAAATCGTCTCGTGCTGCTCATCCTTACATTAGTCCTCGTACCCGCTCTTTTGGCACGCATCATATCTTTCGGTTCGATGTCACCGATTTTGCTCACAACTCGGCACCGTCAGGGATATTACGTCATCTGCATCCTCTGGGGCTTAATTTAGTCCTCCCCGCCCCCCCCCTCCCCCCCAGTTTCCCATCACCCCAGTATCTACTCATCAGATCGCACAAATTCAAACGACAATCATGAGCCCTTAGAGTCAGAGTAGAGCCCATGAGAGTCAATCTTGAACAGCAATCGTGAAGCTAGGATCTGTGACATACATGATCATGTCACAGATCACACAAGTACTTTAAAGACCACCCAATTCTCGGATGACTTCAGAGCAATCTGACAAGAGTAATGCTGATCGCGCAGCTTTGAAACCGACACCTAACGAATGAACGTACTCTTATTTTTCACAGTCATGCTATGATTCTGGCAAAGATAAAGGATTAGTGCTAGATCAGGCTATTGTTACTTCATGTAACTGTTCTCTGGTTTTTGGTGTTTCGGTAACCATGCTGCTTACAAGCGATCTCTGGGAATATGTCAACCATACCTGCTTAGCTATCACATTTGGACATAGTGAATAATTTTAGCTGAATGCCTATAAATTGACCTTAAATGACCTCTGATGTTTGTCCGATGTTGCATAGTTCATGACATTGACCAGCAGACATTCTAACCAGCCTGTGATTTGCATGAACTATATCCAAAACAAGGCAGGAATTACTAACTATTGCATGCAGATGCAAACGTCACCGTGTAAACCTTATTTTGCGCCGTCATAACCCTTTGGCCGGGTCTAACACCAAACATTTATCTCTCCGAAATTTAACACATTGATCACCATCGGGTCGTGTAAACTTGGCTACATTTGGCCGGCACGGTCCAGATTTCGTCCGGAAACTCGGAGGGTGATCACTTCCATTCCCCAAGCGATGACGGATGAGGGGATTGGGCCTGCCAACAGGCCGATCTTAAGTCAAAATACGGAAAATTGCGACATATTACTCTGTTCACTTGATGTTTTGTCCTCACGCTGCGAAGATTATGGCAGGGTCTTCCATTTCCATGCCGGCTGTGGGAAACGATCATGCGGTCTTGCTGCTTTCACTATGGCAGCATCTTAGCCGTAGCATTATAGTCAAAGATGCGATCTTGAGGGATTCGTCTTTAACCTGAGCATGTGCGCTGGGTATCCGGTAGGGTCCCCCTCCCACGGGGCTCTCGGCCCACTCGTGGCTGACGCATGCATCCTGCCCCGGACGAGCGGGGTGTCGCGAGGATGTAGGACGAAGCAAGATAGAGGATAGGAGGACTGGATGGAGTCAGCCTTTTGTGTGGAATTGTGTAGATCTAACGGATACTCTTTGAACGCCATTATCCGCCTCTGGTGCTATTCCGAAGGCCAAATCGTATAGACTTATTCCTTTTTTGGTTTAACCAGTAATCACGCTATCCATGGACTGGTGCGTTATGCCACAAATTTCAGTTCAAAATCAGGGCAACTATTTTAGCTCAAATAAGATAGTTGAATTTGGTGCTGCTTATATTTGCAAGTGACTATGCGATGCGCATTTGTCTGGCAATGCTCAAATAACGTTTCAACACTTTAACAGACGCCTATGGTTTCGCAAACGTACACCTCAACAATGTTCTGCTAATCTTCACCCAAATGCAACAAGCACAGGATGCAGCACAGAACACGCATCATGAATCCCATAAGATCGGATTTTGCATAGTGATTGTGTGTTCCTGTGGCCGCAAGATACAGTGAAGCGGCATGTTGCCGCAACACTGGCGGGTTGCTTAGTATAGATGACCCTTAGCGTGACCGGTGCTTTGGTCCATGCCAGGTGCGCCAGAGGTCAACGTCAATGGACTACGCGCTCAGTATGATGCCGGGGTACCACCGAGGCGTCCTGGACATCATCAGGCACTACCGCTGGCAGGGCATCATCTACTTGTACGACTCCGAAGACGGTCAGTCCCGCTTTTGCCTGGTGTGACGGGCTAAAAGCGATCAGCCAATCGTCAGAGCCCACTCGTGAGGAGCGATGTGACAGATTACCTTAGCGCTAACGAGTTAGCAGGGGCCCTGTGGCTGGTGGTCCGCTCACAGGGACGTTTTTATACGCGTCGAACCCGCGTGAAAAGCGTGTGACGTCATGAGAGGAGTGCCGCGTAATGCGTAACCGAAGGTGCTTGAGTTGAGGTCCTAGACAGCTTGGTCGTCGCAATGTAAGTGAGGCGTAAGGTCTGAATGTCCGTTTATATCATCCTAAACGTGCAGGCTTACAAGACATGCAAAAGAAGGACAGGAATGAGGAAGGCATGCCTTGTGCACAGCGGCGCTAGTTGTGGAAACACATTCAGCAGAAGTACCACGTGGAGAGCTTATACAGTTTATAGTTTACACAGTTTATAGACTGAGTCTATGCACTCTTGTCAGATGCGCTTTAGGAAAAAAAACCCTGTGTGAACATATCATCATGCTGGTGTGGGCGCCGAACTGCATGGTATCATATGCATGATGTAAATGATTTTGATGAGGCCTTTTTAGTTAAGTTCCACCAAGCCAATGGAAGGACAAACACTACACTAGAAACGGAGCAATATTTGAACTCCATCACAGCCTGGAGCACATCCAGGTGTATATCCTGGGTTCTCTCGCGACTGTCGCTAAGTTTGAGCACTAGAAGACCAAGCGTAAGTGGCGTGAAGTTGTTTGTTTACGGAAGAGCTCTCGCAGTGGCAGCAGTTTTCATCTGGCAGCTCTTCTGGTGGTGACGTCCTGCCACCGTATCTTCTCGTGGGCCCTGGCAGACATTTTAAAAGGTCTTTTAGAACGTCATAAAAACGCTGAAGTTGTGCCGGCCTCGTCCAAACATCAGCGCCATTCGCCTCTGACGAAATACATGTGGTGCGCGAGGAAAATCCCGGACGAGAAGCTGCAGACCTGATGGCTCGAGTTCCGGCTGCGTCAACACTTGGCCCTCGGCGGAAAGTCGCGAACAATTTCTTAATGAAATAAATGCTCTATGGCCAGCTTCCCTCCCCCCATTCAGCTAACAGCCACTCAAGACGTTTGTAAATGATTTAGGCGACGTAGGCTCCCGTTATTTGAACGTGACAATGAAAATAGCGATGGACTCACTGCAGATGCACATTTAAACGTGCAGGAAGATTCAAATATGCCTCGTAATCCACGCTTCTAGATAAAAGGGCACTTTAGCAAACTTATTACGTGAAACTAACAATTACGTGCAAAGATAACTAAAGCCTGAAATAATTTGTATTGAACCAATTGATGCATTTATTAGTTAAGCATGCATCTCATTAGAAGGTCATCGTGTCAAACCTTTAGGGTTGCATCAGACCCACGGGACCCAATAATCCACGGGCGCTGGTTATGAGTAACGTCTTGAGTGATATGAAAACCCTTTTAGAGAAGTCGTCGCTGCATACTTCCGAGCTAATTGTATGACCGCATAATTCGAGACCATCGCAAGTCATGGGATCGCCACAATTTACGCCTTCGAAGTAAATGGAAACACACATGCTCACATGAAAATCTAAGTTGCGTAAGTTGTTAAGTGCATTATCGGGGAACATTAGCCGCATAGATAAGACAGTAGTATTAGCCTTCTGCTTCGGAAGAACCAGGAGAATAGAGATATAGTTAGGTTGATATTTCGGCAACATGCCTTTCTCGAAGTAATAGCAGAAGTGAATTCACAATTGCCTGCCGATGATCCTACTCGATTTTTCAGGTTTTTTTTTAAAAGAGCAAACCACGGCTTCTACTGGACACCAACATTCAGGGGATTAAACAAATAGCGATTGCCGGCAATTACCAAGAAGCAATGTCTATTCAAGAATTAGAATACCCGGACATACGTGTGCATGCAAACGAATTCCGGCAAATAGGCATCACGCATCACGCTTCATTCGAACATGCAAGCGAGCTGAAGGAAACGGACATCACACATCGCGCGCCAATTATGCATGCAAACGATTACAATTGAACAGGCATGGCACATCACGCGACAGGCATCACTTACACATGTAAACGATTTAAAGCTAGCACACATCACACAAAGAGGCACATATCACGTTCGCATAATTGGCCATGATGGGCCCTTTATCCTGAGATCTGGCCGACGACTTTTATAAGAATAGATTCACTTATTTTCCTGCCTGTGTGATCCTGTGCTCTGCAGATGACTTTGAGCTCTAAAAGGGGCACAGGGTCCATATTTCCTAACTATATCTCTATTCGCCTGGTTTTTCCGAGGAATTAGGCTAATACTGTCTGATCTCAAAATATAAGTTGGTTTGTCTGTAAAAACGTGAGATTTTTGGCTGACACACATTATGTCAACCCCAGGAGACAGCTCAGCTTATCATTAGCGGAATACAAAAAAGGTACGTTTTTGCTACAAGGTCTGCTGTAAATGTTTTGACGAAAATGCACTCAAATGAAGTCAAATCGTGGGTTTCTCTGCCGACAACCGCATGACCCGTTATAGCTGCCGATGCAAGGATACCTGTCCTTCCAGGCTGGCGCCGACTAATCTCCTGGATTTCTTGACCAGCGTTTGTTGTTCAGACCGTAGGGCATGTGACTTTCCGGGGGAATGTGAATGGTCGATTTATACCAGTCACCTGTGACGGATGATGAAGTACTCATACGGCCGAGGGTGGGTTGAATCTGTAGACGACTTTTCCGGCGAGGATCTTGAGCCGAGGGTCGAGAGTTGCAAGTTCTGTAGCCGTAATGATCTAAAGCTGGATGTGAAATAAGGGAAACGCAGCTCCTACTTGGGTCCCCTGCTGCGGAACCTCTCATCTTTAGTGGTAAATAATGTCTCCAGAATAAGAACTCTATAGCGCGTGGACGACTATAAAACTTGGGGATGACAGAACTTTGAGGAGCTGGGACAAAACGGAAGTTTTTAGGAATCCAACTTCACCTCAGTGTTCGTGAATGAGCTGGGAACTTTGGCACCATCCCATTGTGGTGTCAGGGTAGTTACGGGAACATTTCTTCCGTTGAACGTTGCCGAGGGAAGCTGAGTGTAGAGTGCCCGGATAAAAGTGATCTCCAGCCGTCTGAATTATAAACAAACGGAACATCGGTATGCAATTCCAGGATTGGGGAATGGTCTGAAAAGCGCTCTGCAAGACGATCAAATCCCAGGCTCTAGAGCAAATGGAGCAGACAAAAAGCGGCGTTGGAAAAGTTGTGCGATCAATGACAGATTGAGAGCGATCAAGAGTGGGGCGAAACCCATTTACCAAATGAAAACTTCCCGATGATGATACGCTGGATAAAGCCGAGGTGCATCGTCCGACAGCACGACGCCAGTGCACGCCTGGCATCGCGCGGTAGTCTATCATCGGTGTAAATAGTTCGGAAACCACATTATGAAGCAAACTAACGTCACCTATTACAACATTTTTACATGATTCACCGTCACTAGTCGTCGTGAACAATGGTTGGTAAAATATAGGCATGATATGGCAGTTTCTGTTAACATGATTTCCTATTGTGTGTTCGCTGCGTTTCCTTTCGCAATGATGGTTTCAATTCTTGGAAGTTGGGAAAAGTGCTTTATAAAAAAGAATGGCACCATTGCCGACATCTCCATTAATACTCAGTGGTTCTATGCCATGTAACAATATATATGATAACAGCTTTAGGAAATAACTGATGCGTGCATATACCAAGCTTCAGTTAGAAACGAGGATTGCATAACGAGTAAAGAATAAACGTCCACGACACATTCCACCGTTAGGACAGTGCCGTATACAGGCATGATGCAGTTACGGTTTCCATATGCTCGCATGCCAGGGAGGCAAGCAATTTTTCTCCAAAGCATTCCAAGAAATTGGATTCATCCAAACAGATCTGAGACTTTTTGAAGCTCAGAAACGCACTGCATTCTGTTCTAAGCTAGGCCAATCCGTTTCGTTAGGTGTTCATAGCCAGCGGCAAACCACAGTTATAACATTATGCATTTCACCCAAAAAATATCACCTTCGCGCAAAACGGAGGCAGGAGTCACGTAATGCTGCCGCATAGCCTCACTGGTGCTATGGATGGTCCTGGTATGGATGGTGCTGGTGTTATCACATGTCCATGGTTACCATGGATACTGGACGTTTTGAACACTGGACTTCACGACTCTGGACTTTGCGACTCTGGACTTTGTGTTCCCCGGACCTTACGAACTTCCCAATGGTCACGGATAGGACGTTTCCTGGACGTTATCAACACTGGATGCTGGGATCCTGGACGATATGAACACTGGATGCTGCAATCCCGGACTATTTGATGGTTCCCCGTGCTATTTGGTTGCCCGGTTTGATTTAGTACGATTCACCTCCTTATCATTTTTTTGTTGTTGCATTAGTTCCAATGAAATGAAAAAGGAAGCGAGCGAACAAGAAAAACGAAAGCAAAAACAAATGACAACAAAAACACGAAGCAAACGGATAGTAAGGGAAACAATTTGCATGTGCGAGGTTAAATTCGAAGCAATCGCCAGGTGAACCTTGTTATTTGCACGCTGAGGTTTCCACATCCAAATCTTGTTAAAACTCCCAGGTGTCCATCCCCGTCGTGTTTCCTGTGACGTCACAGGCCTGTGTCACACGGCGTGGGGGTCAGGTCGGGTCACACCGCCGTCACCGCCTACAGGCCTGCACCGGCTGCAGCAAATGTTGCAGTCTGTCACGCCCGGTAACGGCACGCTACGTGTGCTGCACGCCCGACGGATCTTCGGCGCCGCTGACGCGCTGGCGTTCCTGCGCTCGCTGGAGATGCTGGACCGGTGAGTCGACGCCTGCGGCTTCCGGCGCTCGCTGGAGCTGCTAAACCGGTAAGTCGACGCCTGCGGGCTTCCGGCGCTCGCTAGAGACTGCTGGACCGGTGAGTCGACGCCTGTGGGCTTCCGGCGCTCGCTGGAGCTGCTGGACCGGTGAGTCGACGCCTGCGGGCTTCCGACGCTGATCGGAGCCGGCGTCCAGACAGCGCATCCGTGGCCGCCGCCAGCGCCGCCGGGCACTGACGGTCTTTGACGTGACCGGCAGCGGCGCCAGCTCGGCACGGTGTCACAACACGAGTGCTATGGCAAAAACCCCTACCGACAGGAGTGCTCCGACATCAGCTGTACGCAGCATTACTTGTAATGCAAAACCTGATGCGGCCCTTACTTAGACGCGATATTACTTGCACCGCAAAGTCTTATACACGACATGAGTGCTACACGGCAAAATTTATGCCCCAAAAATTATTTACGTCATTACATGCATCGCGAAAGCTTATGCCGCATTTACTTATACGCGACATTACTTCTCCTGTAAAGGCTCAGGCATGACATGAGTGCCACATGACAAAACTTATGCTGGCAAAACTTATGCACGGCATGATTGCTACACAACGAAACTTATGCTGCTAAAACATATTCTGATCTGATTACTTCTACAGCAAGGGTTTATACAATCTTTACTTATACGCGACATTACTTCAAGTGCAATAAGTGAAATGTGGCCTTTTGGGGCATACGTTTTGTCGTGTAGCACTGATGTCGCGAATTACGTTTTTGCTGTGGAAGTAATTCTGCGTATAACTAATGGCTGTATAGGAGTTTGCAGTAGAGGTAATGACAGGCATAAGCTTTGGAAAGATACGTTTTATCGTGTAGCACTATCGTCGAATTAAGCTATCGGAGTAAATGTGAAGTCGTTCATAAGTAATAGCTACGCATTTTTTGCAGTAGGGATAATGGCGAGCATGCATTTTTTTGCGGCATAAATTTGTCGTGCTGCACTAAGGTCGGGTTTAAGTATCGACAGTAGAAGCAGTTGCTGCACTCCAGTCGGTAGGAGCCTTCGTTGCAGCACCAGTGTGGTGGACCCGCTCGGCGCGTGACGGGGCCGGCGCCCGAGCCGCCTGGCTCCGCTCACGACCGCCATCGACCGGTCTGGCGGCGGAGCGAGCGCCACACGGGGCGTGCGGCCCACTCGGCGACCGCTGCTGGCCCCGCGGCTGTCCGTCACCGCCTCCGCTGAATGGCCGCGACCCAGATGACTGTCACTTGAGTGACGACGGGTGGTCGGCTTCGTCGCACGCTGTGCGCAGCGCCCCGGTCATCAGCAAAGCTGTTGGCTTTCTTTGTACCACCCGTGGACACGCGTGTAATTTGGTTGGGTCGTTTTCATTTCCCTTGCTTGATGAAGTACTTTGATGTTGGTTGACACGTTTCCGTCGCGTCTCCAGTCACAAAAGCCACAGGCAATGCGCGTGATTGCCTCTCAGGTAAAAGCCCTGCACTGCACCGCACTGAGGCGTGACGCGCTTCCGTCACTGACGTCACCAGGTGGAGCATAAAGCGGGTGGTGCTGGACTGCGAGGCGCACCTGGCTCAGGAAGTGATCGTCGGCCACGTGCAGGACGTCCACCTGGGCCGCAGGAACTACCACTACCTGCTGAGCGGCCTGGTGAGAGGCCTGCGCAGCTGCCGGCCCGCCGGCGCTGGCTCCAGTAAGAGTATGACACGCCAGTAAAGCGTCTGATCCAGCGATGTTGGTGTGTCACGTCGCTTTGTGGGCTGTGCCTAAAAATGGGTCAGTCGGGATTCGTGGTGTTCTCGTCACCACATGATTCTACCGACGGGGTAGCCCGCGGGACTCGGCAGCCCTCCTGCTTTGTGTTTGGGCAAGTCGAGGACCTCTCCGAGTGCAGCGCTCACTTGCGCCGTGTTGCATTTTAAACCCGCGCTACGTTGTTTCAGGTCATGGATGAAGAGTGGGACAGGCGGGTGCAGGAGTACGGAGCCATAAACATCACAGGCTTCCGTCTGGTGGACCCGGAGCGACCTCTGGTCAAGGCCCTGCTGCGCCTCTGGCAGAGCAACGCCGGCCTGGATAAGTTACTGTCGGTAAGGGGCGCTGCCTCGTCAGTTTCTCGCCCCCACAGCCACCGAGAGGAAGTCGGTCGGCACTCGCAGCAGCTCATGACCTCTCGATTGACTGGCGAAAAGTTTGCGCAATCAAGTCAGCCGAGTTGGCTCCGCGGAGCCGCTCGACAGACCTGCAGACAAGCCTGCTGCCCCGCCCGGTTGCCACGCTGGAGTCGAGGCCTGCACCGGTGGCTCCTGCCGGCTCTCTCGCTCCTGGCGACCGGTGCAAACATGGCCGACGCGCCACCCAGCGCGCATCAGTGTCGATATCCCGACGGGTTATTGTGCTCTCAGGCGCAAACGGCTCTGATAAATTGCCCTGACTCGGAATGCTTCTGGCTGCTCTCGGGCGGACGGCAAAGTATTTTTGACTGGAAACGCCTGGTCGGTGACGAGCGCCGCCGGCCTGCGTGAGAGATCACCCATGACGACGTCCTGAGCCCGTGACGCAGACGGACGCAGACCTGTGACAGACAGGCAGACGGGCGGCGCCTGCCTCTGACGTCCGCTGCCGTGCCCTGCAGGCCCAGACGGCGCTGATGTACGACTCGCTGCTGGTCATCACGGAGGCGCTGCGCCAGCTCTGGCCCGAGCTGGCCAGCTCCGTCGGCATGGTCCAAGGCCGGGTATTCAACTGCTCCCAGGACTTCTCGAACGTCACCGGTTACGAGCACGGAGGGATGATCATGAAACAGCTGCGTAAGGTGAGTAGACCTTCGGCTAGTGGCGCGAATTGTCAGGATGTGGCCTCGTATTGTCAGGATGTGGCCTCGTATTGTCAGGATGTGGCCTCGTATTGTCAGGATGTGGCCTCGTATTGTCAGGATGTGGTCTCGTGTTGTCAGGATGTGGCCTCGTATTGTCAGGATGTGGCCTCGCGATGTGTCTTGGTGGTGAGAGCCTCGCCGTCCGAGCACAGCTTTTTCCTCAGCGCAGACCTTCTGTGGTACACCAATTAGACGAGTAGTTCCCCTTAACACCGCGCGATCAAAAGGCTTGGCTGGAGCGGAACTCCCCTCGCCATTAATGCCTTGGGGGAGCTTTTAAATTCAAATTATGGCGGCGGGATTAGATGTGAACGGGATCCCTCACACGGCTATCGGCTCCTTTCCGCAGCTTTGTCATCATGATGGCGTCGAGGATTTGGCTCGGCTATGACAATCACTTCTGCTCCTCCTTTTCAGACTAAAATAGAAGGCATCACAGGCAATATAAGCTTTTCAGATGATGGGAAGAGGGAGAATTACCGCCTGGATGTTGTCGAGATGTCGGTGAACAGCCGTCCAGTGAAGGTAATCAGCTGCTGTCTTCCGGCCACTCTCTTGGAGTGAGCCCGCCGGGCTCGGCCAGCGCGGAACGAGCGTGCCCTTTGGTTTACTTTATTTGTTTAGGACCAAAAACAGTCCGGTCGTACCATTTGCACGATAAGCCTTTGCTCCTGACATGCTTTGTAAGCCCACGGATGGGGCAGACTGCTCTCCGTCTGTCTCGAGTGATCCCGTTGCCTTCCCGCTGGTGAGCGATACGCAACTATCTGTTCTCGCGAACGAGCCGCCGGTGATATTTCACCCTCTTCTACGGAAAGAGCTGGTGCTGACGTCCAGGAGAAGAATAGGTAAACGAACCGGCGCACGGCGTGAGCTCGCGAGGCGGAACAGCATGGTGTCGGGAAGTGCGTAGGTCTCAGACGGGGCTGAAGAGAGCTATCCCACCGATTCCCTGACGGGAATGAAGAGAGTCATCCCACCCATCCATGCAAGTATGCAGCATTGTAAGAAGTCGCTCCCTGAAACAAGACGGAACTATAGCCCCTCGATCCGTATTAACAAGAAAATGATTCGCCGTGTATCACGGAAAACATAGCTTAACACAACTGAAACCGAGGACATCTTAGCGCTATTGACCGTCATATATCGCGACGGCGGCAGCCTTTGAGCTTCGCTAGGCGGTGGTGCTTCATGTCGGCTGATCGGAGGGCAAAGTTCAACGACTGAGCAGAGCGTACAGCCGATCGCCTGCGGGCTGAAGGCCACGCCGGATGCGGCCAATCGAACGAGCCGGCTCCCAGAGCACCAACTTGGGCTTCACGAAGTACCGGCTTATTTCTTTAATGGACTTGTGATTGACTTGCCCATGGACTGGCTGTCAATGAAGGTCTTAGACATGAAACAAACTGTAACTGGTCTAGTTGCCCGCGTTGTGAAAATTTTCATGACCTTATACAAATATAGTATGGTTGCATTTAACCACGTCGAAGGCTTATAAGCATGCAAATAGTCATTTGCCAATCACGAGGCACGGCATTTTGCTTTGTTCCTTTTCTGTGTGGAAAACATAAAGCCATGCTTACTAATTATACAATAGTTTGAGCGATCATCGCAGAATGCAGTTTTCATATTTTGGTAATCTAAAATGATCCTAGATGCATAAATATGGCGCCCTACCATTCTTATGATTTCAAACATCCTGGACACAGCCCATCCCCGGCACCGCTGGGCACGTATAATTTACTGCCTAAAATCACACTACGTTTCCAGACTGCGTCGAAACTGGAAGTGCACAAATTGATGGTGGTGTGCTTCGTAGCCATGCCGTGTTCCCTCTACCGGATCACATCACACCAGCTGTTCACCTCTCGCCCACAGATGGGCGTATGGTCGGACTTGTACGGGTTCGATGCCGTCGAGTTCGGACCCCGGAGGGTTCAACAGGGAGTGCGCAAGAAAAACAACACCATCATCATCACTACTATTGAAGTAAGTGCATTGTGGAATGCCTGGTTGGTCGTTGCATTCCCAGTGGTTATGTAGTCCATTGACGAAGCTTTGTTACACGTTGATTTATGATGTACGCTGACTTTGGTCTCGGCGTCACCGTCTCGCGGCGCTGGGCACCCAACTGATGTTACAGGGCGTCTTTCAGCGGTGCTTTCATTTGGTGTTGTGCATGTCGCAATGAGACGGTGAAACCTAGCAGTGCAACAGTGACGAAAGAGTGGTCCGTTCGCAAAACAAACCTAAATTCGCTCCTGTTCTGTGCATGTAATATCACGCGCAAGCAAGTCAAGTGTGATACTTTTTAACATCGAACGCCTTTTGAAGTCGTTCTGCTTGATCAGTCGAATAGAATATGCCTGAGGGGACACATATGCGGCTTGCAGGAGCCTCCATTTATCATGGTGTTAAAGGGAGAGGACGCCATTAACAAGACGGGCAATGACCTTCTTGTCGGCTACTGCAAAGACCTAGCCGATATGCTCGCCAAGCAGGTCGGCTTCACATGTAAGTAAAGGGAGGAGTGGCCCATGTTTATATCAATTAGCCTTCTAATTGAAGTGAACACACGCGTTCTGCACTTCTCGCGGCAAGATAAGATGCTCAGATAGCATTCGGTCTCGTTCTGCCTGTCCGGAAAACGCCTCAGAGCTCCGGCGAGTCCATCGCGGCATGCAGCGCACCCCCGCCGTTAGCCGTGCCAGCCAGCCTTTGTAGTCGTATTTTTCCTCGGGACCAGACACGGGATAGCGGGCCCTTCGCTCCCATCGCTGCCAGACTTACCACGGCAGCAGCTCCTGCGCGAGTGGGCGCTGGGCGCCGCCATCTTGGGTGAGATCCGATCATCCGGAGATGGCACGGCTGAGTAATTGGAAGGCCGATTTGGAACGCGGCTGGCGCCCCGACGTCCGACGTTTGGTGCCGGGCCCCGCCGTATTATGTCGGCTAAGATGACGTAACGTGCCTCGGAGTAAAGCAGGTGCAGTCCATCTCATCGATGCGTTAACACACCTTATAAGCGTTATTTGAACTGCGTGGAAGGCTGCATTCTGGTAATCTGAAGCACAACGCATTGAAGCTTGTCCGTGGCGAGATTGCCGAACAGCTCCGAGTCGGCAGACACACTGGGCTGATGATGTTACGGCGTCTTTATCGCCCTGTCAGAGTGGAGTTCACCGAGCCTTTGCCTAGCAGCCGATTAACAAGCTCAATTCACTTGGCATTTCCCAGTGCAGTGTGAATTTATGCTTTTTCTTGGCTTATGTTTTCGTAATGTACATCCAGAAATATGTGGTGCATTGTAATGCAGCTTGAGCCAGCGTGGTTTCAAGCATTTTTATGCGTGCGTAATGTGCTTAAAGAGAATGCTCAGCATTTGAAGATATTGGAGCAAGCGTCATATAGGATGAAATACGGTTCCTTATGATTATTAGTATGCTGTAAGTTGAAAAACTTCTTTAGGCAGCTCAGTTTCTTTATTTCGTGATTGTGCTCCTCAAGGGGTCCGTGTTTAATTGCCTCATGAAACGTTTGTATGACGTTGAACTGCTGCCAAACCAGCCGTGCGAAATTCCCATCATTGCACCCAATTATAGCACTTCAAAGTAGCCGAGAGATCACAGTGCGGTGCCGGAAGTTCTCGCTGAGCCAAATATTGTTATGTGCTCCTGTTTTGGCCCTTACTCTGGGTGTTTTCGCGTATTTATCGGTGAGTTTAATAAGTTTACTTGCATTCGTACACTCACTTATGGCACTATTCTGAATTCATTTCCTTTCAAGTCCCATTACTGTATTAACTAGTAAGTGCGTCAAACTTGTTATATTATATGGCCCATAAGGTGGCCGTCCTGTTCACCTGTTCCTGTTTGCCTCACCCCGGCTCGGCAGGGATATGCGAGGCATAATTGATGTCCACTTCGCTTGGTAATGGTGCTCACAGAACCAGATCTGAACAGTTCGACGATAATACTACTCATGGCCTTGGGCGCCGCATCACCCCTTTGGTGGCGGGAATTGGGTGCCGTCATGCATGTCATGTACACGGGCGTGTAGCCCAGAAATTGGAGGGTTTTAGGTATTGCGAAGGGCAGAGCTGTGAACTGCACCGAATGACCTTCAGAATGTCGATTTCAGTTCAAAACTCCTTACAAATGTGGAACACTCTCTTAAAGTGCTGTGTGCGTGAGCGTGCGTGTGGCACGTGCGTTGAAGTGTTACGTATGTGGCGACAGATGAGATGCGTCTGGTGAAGGACCGGCGGTACGGTGCTGTCAACGCATCTGTTGACGGCAACTGGGACGGCATCATCGGGGAGCTGGTCCGGCGGGTATGTCAACCCGTATTAGCCATCAGCTCAATATGTAAAGTGGATGACGACTATGTCGCATGCAAGCAGACAGCTGTAAAAATCATGAATACCTTGATGTTTGCCGGTCAGACGCGTCCTATTTGTATTCGTTATCTTCGGACGCTACTTAGACTAAAGGTAACTCGTCTCCTTTATCGCACCGCAGTTAAAAAACACTGTTGCCCGCTTGAGGCTCGCTGGTTAAAGGCCGGCGGTGAACGCATGATCGCAAGCGTTGCGTAAGCGCAAGGGTAAGCTCTGCACAGACGCAAGTGAATCGATGCCGAGCAGGATAGTTATTGCGGGCTTAAGAAACTACCTTGGTCATCAGGAACAGAGATATTTGTGACCAACAGAGGTGAGTGAGTATGTTCCAATTTCATCTGCTTCTCGCAACTTGACGCATTGCCTATTCATCCATGCACATAAGTCCGCTGCAGGTGGGCCCTGAGAGCGTCATGGGCGTGTCAAAATATATCTGTCACAAACGGACCCAGCGGCCGATGGGAGGGCGCCATTGATGAGACGCCCGGCCGCGTCTGCGCCGCTGACCGTCACCGCGCCGATCGCGCTCGGCAGGAGGCCGACATAGCCGTGGCGCCGCTCTCCATCAGCCTGGCCCGCGAGGAGGTCGTGTCCTTCACCAAGCCGTTCATGACGCTCGGTATCTCCATCATGATTAAGAAGCCGATCAAGAAGAACCCAGGTGGGAGACGTGGCGGGTGACCACCTGGGGGCAGGAGGCGTGACGGGTGGCGTGCTGCAGGTGGGAGGCGTGACGGGTGACGTGCTGTAGGTGGGAGGCGTGACGGATGGCGTGCTGCAGGTGTGAGGCGTGACGGGTGATGACCGCCGGTGGGAGACGTGACGGGCGACGTGCTGCAGGTGTGAGGCGTGACGGGTGACGTGCTGTAGGTGGGAGGCGTGACGGGTGACGTGCTGTAGGTGGGAGGCGTGACGGGTGACGTGCTGCAGGTGGGAGGCGTGACGGGTGACGTGCTGCAGGTGGGAGGCGTGACGGATGGCGTGCTGCGGATGGGAGACGTGACGGGTGATGACCGCCGGTGGGAGACGTGACGGGTGACGTGCTGCAGGTGGGAGGCGTGACGGGTGGCGTGCTGCAGGTGTGAGGCGTGACGGGTGACCTGCTGCAGGTGGGAGGCGTGACGGATGGCGTGCTGCGGGCAGGAGACGTGACGGGTGACGTGCTGCGGGCGGGAGACGTGACGGGTGACCTGCTGCAGGTGAAAGGCGTGACGGATAGCATGCTGCGGGCGGGAGGCATGACGAGTGACGTGCTGCGGGCGGGAGACGTGACGGGTGACGTGCTGCGGGCGGGAGACGTGACGGGCCTGCGGCAGGTGGAAAGGCGTGACGGAGCATGCTGCGGGCGGGAGCATGACGAGTGACGTGCGCGGGCGGGAGACGTGACGGGTGACGTGCTGCGGGCGGGAGACGTGACGGGTGACGTGCTGCAGGTGGGAGACGTGGCGGGTGACGTGCTGCAGGGGGGGACGTGGCGGGTGACGTGCTGCAGGTGGGAGACGTGACGGGTGACGTGCTGCAGGTGGGAGACGTGGCGGGTGACGTGCTGCAGGTGGGGGACGGGGCGGGTGACGGCCGCCGGCGGAGCGCCACAGATACACTTGCGCATGTGAGCTTTCATTTCCGTCCCGTAACATCTATGTGAGAGGTCTTGTAGTTTGGTTCACCTCGTTCCATGCCACTTTTCACAACCTATGGGTTTTGATAGAAGCTGACACTTCATCAGAGCTCGTGCTTATTTTCATGCCGTCCTCACGGTAACAACGGTGTTTTTTGCGGTACTTTACGACTATGGTACTGTGGTGCTTTATGATTTGGACAAATTTGACCACATACGCAAGAGTAACATAAGGATCTGGTAGGTGATAACGAAACAAAAACGCTTCCAGGTTAAACTTTACTGCCTATTTTTTATAGGTCTGGGGACATGCGATGGGTTTAGCCTCGTTATCCGGCCTTTGATGTGACGTGTTGTCTAAATCCATCAAACACGCCGCATTAAAAAAATTGCTTGCCTCCCACCTGTCCGCTCCTGAGTTGCGCTATAGACATCCTTTTTAACCTTTGCATTATGAAAGAGAGGTCACAGGTTCGGAAGTAGGTTTGAGCCCCCATCACAAAATTGCTTCATTGGAGTCCTTAATTCCTGGGGGACAATGTCCCCGTGTGATTCAAGCTAGATCAATAATGGATAGATTGATAACAGTTAAAACGTGACATGAAAACATGACATAAAACGTGTTAAAAACCTGTTGTATATATACGTGGTAATAGGTAATATCAGCATGGCGCTTAATCAGATGAGCACAGTTGCGCATTGCAAGTTGTTCGGTGCGTTAGCAAGGAACATTACTCACACAGATAAGGCAGAAGTATTAGCCTGATACCTCTGAAAAACCAGGAGAATAGAGATATAGTTAGGTTGATATTTCAGCAGCATGCCCTTCTCGAAACAATAGCAGAAGTGAGTTCTTGGTTTTTCCTAGGAATAAGGGTAATACAGGCCCACTGATATGTCACAGACTCACTGATGCGACAGAGACTCACTGACGCGACAGCAGGCTCACTGATCCGTTACAGGCTCACTAATCCGTTACAGACTCACTGATACGACACAGACTCACTGCTGTGACAGGGACTCACTGATGCGAAAGAGGCTCACTGATGTGACACAGGCTTACTGATGCGACACAGGCTCACTGATGCGACACAGGCTCACTGATCCGTTACAGGCTCACTGATGCGACACAGGCTCACTGATGCGACACAGGCTCATTGATGAGACAGAGGCTCACTGCTGTGACTCACAGCTGACCCGTGCTAACTCCTGCTGCCTGCCTACCGCCGGCCTTCCAACACTTACACTGACGCTGGCCCCAACGCAGGCTTCTTCTCCTTCCTGAACCCGTTCAGTCGCGAGATCTGGCTCTGCGTCGTGTTCGCCTACTTCGGCGTCAGCATCGTGCTGTTCTTGGTGTCGCGCTTCTCGCCCTACGAGTGGCGGCTGGAGGAGACGGTGCTCGGCACCACCGTCACCAACGAGTTCACCATCTACAACAGCCTGTGGTTCGTGCTGGGCGCGCTTCTGAAGCAGGGCAGTGACATCAGCCCCCGGTGAGTCACGTTAGCGGGGTCCGTAGAGGTGGTCTGGGTCTTTCCAGGCCTTTTGGGTCCGGACTGTTGTATCGCGGTCAGGGATGTAGTTACATACAATATGTTGGGGGAACTGGGTAGGGAGAATAGTTGAACATATCCCATAGCTTACTACATGTTTCACGGAATTGGCCAACGTTCCGCTTGAAGTTTTGGAAGGGGTTCGGGGCTGGACCCCCGTCCCAAACTGAATATATGAAACTACACCTCTGATCGCAATAGCTTGTCATGCATATGCGGGGCAGCATTGGCAAGATGTATGTGACGTCTCTGGCTGTGCGTTGCCTCCTGTAACTAAGACGCGCCGTGCGGCACAACGGGCCATGAGAGCAGCACCAGATTTCGCATTCGATCCGATCTCCCTGCCAAATGAGGCGCCCTATCCGAGATGAAACACGGCTGATCAGCGGCCTCAGGCGTGGCCGGTCGGCGCGCGCTCCTCTGACGGCGCCGCCGGCGAGCCGACGATGGACCGCGTCGATTCCAGCTCGATATCGGGCCGTCTGGTCGGCTCGTGCTGGTGGTTCTTCTGCCTGATCCTCGTGTCGTCGTACACGGCCAATCTGGCCGCCTTCCTGACCGTGGAGCGGCTGGTGACTCCCATCAACTCGGTGGACGACCTGGCCGCCCAGAACGACGTCGAATACGGCACGCTGCGCTCCGGCACCACCACCGCCTTCTTCGAGGTCAGGCTGCCGCTTCTAGGTGGGGTGGTTGGGCGGAGGGCGAGGGCTTGGCGCTCTTTCCACGGCGTAAGGAGAAGTGGCCGCGTGTGCTTGGCGGGTCGGTATGTGGGCAAGGATAGCTGCGCCTTTCTGCACAGCAGGGCCGGCGCTCGATGTTCGTACCGCGCTTCGTTAAAGGGTGTTGCCCGGGACAGAGCATGCACGGAAGAGATCAGGCTGGGCGCATACCGACTGTGGGCATTTGTGGAAACGTGGCATATGGGTGCCCAGGGAGGAATTCGATGTCTGATGTCGCAGTCGCCAAATACTGCTCACAAAGCGCGTGGATCTGACTGTAGCAAGGTGACGCCGGCTAAGTTTCGACATTGGACACGAATGTCCGGTTCGAACATTTGCTCCTGAAACAGCTGCCAATGGGGGCCTCGTGAAACTGGGTGACGTCAGGCTCTGACGACGCACCATTTACGTCTAAGCCACACGTCGGCCATTGTCGCCGAGCCGCCAAATTTTTTCAGCATTATGGTATTGCAGTGTCACGGTCATGGTTACAAGATTACAGCTCTTTTGTCAAGTATGTTTCTGAATGCGTCTCAAGTCATCGAGGGGCACGTTAGCCTTCGATTGAAATTTTCGATCATCGCGCGGTTTCTGGAAATTCCGAAAACCATGATGTCACTCTCGCGACTGTCGGAAATATTTCCAAATCCATTATTTCAACCGCGATGCGTAACGCCTCGTTGACAGCCACGATTCGAGGCTTGGTGTCCGCGCATGAATGGCCCACAAGATCGATGCATTTTTTCAAAAGATCTTGATCGCCGTTGTCAGACTCATTGTGGCTCAGAGGAAAAAAAATTGCTTACCCTTTTCAAGTAAGGTGGATGCAAAAGAGCATGAGAGCCATTGAAAGCGGTTAATTGTAATGCAAAGCTATGTACAATGGGCACAATTGGTCTTATACACCTCGCACAAACTTGCGACCAGATCCCCAACCTTTGAAGCTGAGCAATACGTCTATGCAATGTAAATAAATGCCATAATGAATGTTGGGGAATTTTCATAAATCTTTGAACAATTCCGAAACCCCGTTCGATGAGAATGCCTTATCGCACATAGCACACGTTAGATTCTGCCTGTCAGACTCAGCCCGGATTATGGTGCAGCCGTAATTCCAGATAATGTCTTACGCATTGTGTGGCTGCCTTCAGCTCGTCGTCTAATTTGGCGTCTCCAAGAAAGCCGAGGAACGAGTTTCATTTCGCCAATGCTGACAGCTTTTCGTAGCGAACCTCGTTAAAATTGCACGATTTCGCTGCACGCGCGGCACTGTTGCGGGAGACATAAGGCACGGCGGGTCAGCCCCTTTGCTGTGGGGCGTTGCTGCGTCATTAGCCGACACATTCATCATCGCCGCCATGCTGGATCGGGCGGAGATAGATCTCAGCGAAACGGCCGCTCGGTAAGCAGCAGGGCTCATTAATCCCGCTGGGGCACGGAATTCGGCGCGCCGAGGGATGCGCTTCAGTAACCGATTCGAGCCCCCACCCCCCGCCGCCGCCTGGCCCTGACCTCTCCGCCATGCAGGCCTCAGACGCTGACCTTGCAGCGTTTACCCTCCCCTCCCTCCTGCCAGCACCGGGCCGGGCCAGGCAGGGCGGGACGGGGGGAGGATAGTCGGGCCGGGGTGCCGCCGAGAGCAACAGACCGACCTCCCTGGGGACAGCGGCAGACCCGAGGTCCCGACCTCCCGTCAGCCCCGCGGGCGCGATCTCCCGTCAGCGTCGGGCCAGGCAGGGCGGGGGAAGGTGGTCGGGCCGGGATGCCGCCGAGAGCAACAGGCCGACCTCCCTGGGGACAGCGGCAGACCCACGGTCCCGATCTCCCGCCATCCCGACTAATGCACCGCCGTCAGCGCGGCATCAACGCCGCGGGGACTGAGGGAGGGCGGGCAGGACAGAAGGCCCAGGGCAGATGGGTTACGAAAAGCCGAACGAGACGAATGCAGGAGAAAGAGAGACCAAGACGGAACAGGAGGGAGATGATGAGCAAAGGGTGCATGAGGACGGCAATCTATGGGCATCGAATGCTTCCTCGTACTGAGGATTCCACGGATTTACGCAATCCACGAAGTTTTCTAACGGGGAGTGGGCGAGACAAAGGCGAGGGCGGGGGCGGTGGGCTGGGACGGGGGAGGAGCGGGGGCTGCTGCAGATGCACGGGGGCGGGGTGGAGGCGCCGGCAGGTTCCGGACGGGTGCATAGTGGCGGGGTTGGGGGGCGGGGGGCGGGGGCGGGGACGGGAACGGGGCGGGGGCGGGGACGAGGGCGGGTATGAGGACGAGGACGAGAACGAGGACGACAGGGAGAGAGAGAGAGAGAGAGAGAGAGAGAGAGAGAGAGAGAGGAGAGAGAGAGAGAGAGAGAGAGAGAGAGAGAGAAAAGAGAGAGAGAGAGAGAGAAGAGAGAGGAGAGAGAGAGAGAGAGAGGAGAGAGAGAGAGAGAGAGAGAGAGAGAGAGAGAGAGAGAGAGAGAGAGAGAGAGAGAGAGAGAGAGAGAGAAAGAGAGAGAGAGAGAGAAAGAGAGAGAGAGAGAGAGAGAGAAAGAGAGAGAGAAAGGGAGAGATAGAGAGGGACTATTAAAAAAAGGTAATCTAGTTTATAATATGCTGAATAGGGGTCACTTTAAGCTATCCTCCTCATTTCATGGTACTTTACGGGATATATGGCAGTTTGCGGTACTTTTTAATACTATCTTAAAATTGTACCCATTGCACCTCCACTTCTGGCTACTTTTACTTGCTTTTGTGGGGAAGTAACCCATTTTTGCTATATGACGCTGACCTTGCACTTATTCTGGTGCATTTCTTTTTGGTCAGCCCCTTTTGTGCTGTTCGAAGCAGCAACGAGCACTGGGTTGCCCAAATGAGCTGATTTAGTAACAAATGCCCCCAGAAATAGCAAGAAATAAATTATTCCTCATTACAAGCCTTTCCTGTCTCCCTCAGAACTCCAAACTGGGCATCTACCAGCGCATGTGGGACTTCATGTCATCCAACGAGCACGTGTTCGTCCGGTCGTACCAAGAGGGAATCGAGAGAGTACGCAACTCAAAGGTATACCAGAAGTTGGCCTGTGGCCGCTCGACCGCATGCTCAGTGGGTGGGGGTGGGGGGTGGGGGGTGGGGGGGGAGGGGGAATGGCTCTACGCTTCGTACTTCGGTCAATTTTTGGGATTCTTTTGGGTAGAGCGACTGATAGTTGTGTTCGTGATTTACTTGTCGGGTTTCGGAAATTTCACAAAGGTGAAGGTGCCAGTCTCCAGTCTAGTTAAAGTCATACTTGGTACCGGTTTCATAGGAAAAATACATGTCCAGCGCTCATTGTCGTTTGTCGATTACGAAAAATGAGCTTCAGAGAAACACTCATCCCCCAGCTTCATATCAGAGGTGCTTGTTATGCTAACGGCGCTCAAAGGGGGTGCACCGAATCAGCAATCGCGTGTGCCGACCTGATGCATTTGTCACAGATGGGGCCAATAGAATACTAGTATTCGAAAAGCAAAGCTCTCAAACTCGGCTTTAATTGCGCACGCACTTATCCCTCCACGCACAGGTGTGATCCATTTCCGCATCACCAATACATTATTTGCATCATCACCTCTTGCGCCCGCACCGCCCCTGGTGCACCTCACCTCATCCTTTCTTGTGCCCTCACCGTAACTGGTCCACCTCATCCTCTCTTGTGCCCGCACCGTCCCTGACCAGCACCCCATCCCCTTTTGTGCTCGTACTGTACCAGTTCAGCACCTCATCCCCTCTTGTGCACGCACCGAACCTGGTCAGTACCTCATCCCTCTTGCGCTCGTACCGTACTTGGTCAGCACCTCATCTCCTCCTGTGCTCACACAGTACCTGATCAGCACCTCACCCTCTCTTGCTCGTACCGTACCTGATCAGCACCTCACCCTCTCTTGCTCGTACCGTACCTGATCAGCACCTCACACCCTCTCTTGCTCGTAACCGTACCTGATCAGCACCTCACCCTCTCTTGCTCGTACCGTACCTGATCAGCACCTCACCCTCTCTTGCTCGTACCGTACCTGATCAGCACTTCACCCTCTCTTGCTCGTACCGTACCTGATCAGCACCTCACCCTCTCTTGCTCGTACCGTACCTGATCAGCACCTCACCCTCTCTTGCTCGTACCGTACCTGATCAGCTCCTCACCCTCTCTTGCTCGTACCGTACCTGATCAGCACCTCACCCTCTCTTGCTCGTACCGTACTTGGTCAGCACCCCATCTCCTCCTGTGCTCACACAGTACCTGATCAGCACCTCACCCTCTCTTGCTCGTACCGTATCTGATCAGCACCTCACCCTCTCTTGCTCGTACCGTACCTGATCAGCACCTCACCCTCTCTTGCTCGTACCGTACCTGATCAGCACCTCACCCTCTCTTGCTCGTACCGTACCTGATCAGCACCTCACCCCCTCTTGCTCGTACCGTACCTGATCAGCACCTCACCCTCTCTTGCTCGTACCGTACCTGATCAGCACCTCACCCCTCTTGCTCGCACCGTACCTGATCAGCACCTCACCCTCTCTTGCTCGTAACCGTACCTGATCAGCACCTCACCCTCTCTTGCTCGTACCGTACCTGATCACACCTCACCCTCTCTTGCTCGTACCGTACCTGATCAGTACCTCACACTCTCTTGCTCGTACCGTACCTGATCAGCACCTCACCCTCTCTTGCTCGTACCGTACCTGATCAGCACCTCACCCTCTCTTGCTCGTACCGTACCTGATCAGCACCTCACCCACTCTTGCTCGTACCGTACCTGATCAGCACCTCACCCTCTCTTGCTCGAACCGTGCCTGATCAGCACCTCACCCTCTCTTGCTCGTACCGTACCTGATCAGCACTTCACCCTCTCTTGCTCGTACCGTACCTGATCAGCACCTCATCCCCTCTTGCTCGCATCGTACCTGATCAACACCTCATCCCCTCTTGCTCGCACCGTACCTGATCAGCACCTCATCCCCTCTTGCTCGCACCGTACCTGATCAGCACCTCATCCCTCTTGTGCCTGCACCGTACCTGATCAGCACCTCATCATTGTGGCCGGCCATGTCAATGCTGCGCCGTTCCAACAGGGCAAGTACGCTTTGCTGGTGGAGTCCACCACCAACGACTACGTGAACTCGCGCCAGCCGTGCGACACCATGAAGGTCGGCAGGAACCTGGACAGCAAGGGCTACGGCGTGGCCACACCGCTTGACTCGCCCTGGAGGTGAGCACGCGGGTTGTTAACTGACTGGCAACTGTCAGTGTGATGCTGGGGCCGCGCCAAGCGCTGGCACCCCGTCTTTTCGCTGCACTGAGCGGCGCGGCGCAACTTTGCACCTATTTTCCTCTCCTCTATTATTGTGTCAGTCCCTCAGCATTAGACACAAATCACCAGAAAGTTATGAGATACCACCTCCAATCAAAACGGCTTTTTTCTTGCAGAACTGAGGGCTCTCGCCTTTTTGCAATTGTTTCTTTCAAAGAGCAGTTCTGTTGGCCTTGCACTGCGCACTTGATCCGCTTAGCCCATTTGTCCCGGTATTAATGTGTTAGCGGTCGTCAACAGGCCGCACGGAGCACATTTCCAGCCCCACATCGTCATGAAATTTACTTCACCACTGCTACGGCAATTTTTCGAGGTTTATTGGTGCGTCCGTTGTAAGTAACCTGCACAGCTCCTCTTTGTCATAAGTACGTGGCGGACTTGTGTATGCCATGTGCCTTTTGATTCCCATCCGGCCAACTCCAGCTGCGCGCTCTCTACACGAGAAACACGGTGTTCGGTCGGAATAGCTCAGCGGAGAGCTCCCGCGGTCAACAGTCAACAAAGACCTGATGATAACTCGATGGAGTGCACGCAACTGCTGGCAGGCCGCGATGATTCGGACGAAATACGCCAAGCGCTACTTTGAGTGCCAGCACAATAACAGAAAATTCTCACAAGTGTACTCAGGCTGCTGCCTCGATGTTGCAGGGGAAGTGGGCTGATGAGTTCAGAGCTGTGTTGAAAATACAGATCGCACCAGATCTATCCAGATCATTTGTCGCCGATGCGCAGGGCTTATCCGATTTCATCCTGACAGGCGTTATCAAGTGCTCGATTGATCGAAATTATGAGATGTTAGCTGAAATACGCGGCACTCTCATCATTAACACTGTTGTGGTGATGACAGTAATGATAATGATGCCGTTGGGTTTGAGGACGCGCCGACGTCAAAAGCCATTTTGAGCTGCATTGCCAAGTAATACCTAAAATACTGCTTTGCCAAGAAATTTCTAAAATACTGCATTGCCAAGTACTACCTCAATATACGCCTAAAGATGCTTGATATTTTTATTCAAGCAATAAGTATTGGTGTGGTTAAAGCCGCTTATTTATGCCATGCCATAAATTGCGTACATAGTGCGTACATCTTGTGCGTATATCAAGCTCCATACAGCGTGGTTAATTAATAAGCATAGCATATTTTTGATAGAACGCATACGGAAAATGGTGGCACACAACAAATTTGCATGCATGTCAACTAGGACCCATAGCCGTATGTTGAGCTGTTGTACGTCCTTTCAGGAATGCTTTAAACATGGCAGTGCTTCGCATGAAGGACTATGGAGAGCTCGCTAAACTGGAAAACAGATGGTGGGTTACGAACTCGGAATGTAAGGAAGCAGAGGTAAGCACATGACCTTGATAGAGCCTGGTTTTTATCACTACTTCATCAATGCTTTATGCACCCTCTAAACGTGACTGGTGATCCGTACATTATTTAAGCGGTAGGAACATTATAGTGCATTCCGCCATCACATAGTTGCATAACGTACTGATATGCAGTGTACCAGCTCTCCAGATGCTCTCCCCTCTCACTCACTCCTCTCTCTCTCTCTCTCTCTCTATCTTCTCTCTCCTTCTCTCTCCTCTCTC